CCTCCTCCTCCTTCCAAGGCAGTTTAGGAATTTCATGTGCTCGCCTGCAACTCGTTGGGAATGATGCGCCATATTGAAAGTGACATATAATTATAATAATTACGGGCAATGAAAAGCGTGGCAATAATAGTAAATGTCCTACAGCTGTGAAGCTTCTGCATGAATTGATTTTAAAAGTGAGTGGCATTAAAAGCGGCTCGTGGCGCGGGGGGGACGCGCTCCCAGCCGGGGGCTCCTGGTGGCCACGAGGTTCTCGCTCCTCGCCCTTTTCCACCTTCCCTGCCCCAAATCCCCCCGGCTGATAAAAAAGCGCCTCTGCCCTCATTCCATCCCCCCGGAGCGCAGGGAAAAGTTGGAGATTTCGCAAGAAAATTCCTCGCTGAGGAGCACCAAACCTTCCCCGTCCCGTCCGCAGCCAAGCCGAGCAGCCGCTCGCAAGAGAAAATCAAAATCTGCCCTTTCCAAACACCTCAATTCACATTTTTCCCACCTTTTTTTCCCCCCCCCCACCACTTTAAACGGACGCTCACTCCTGGCGCTGAGAAAATTTTTTTTCCGGGGTAAATTCTTCAGAAATCTGAATTTTAACATTTTTTTTCTGTTCAATGCGCCACGTTTCTCTTTGGTTTTGGGGGGGAGCAGATGTTTGAAAGATGCTGGGCAAATGTTAGGTATCTTGGGTAGACAAATGAGAGCGCGTTTTTGCCCGTTTCCGTGATTTATTATGGAGATGGGATGGCGTTTCGTCATAACTCTTTGTACTGTAACAATAAAAAAAAAAGAGAGAGGGAGAAAAGAGAGAGAGCGGCGCTAAAGGCAGAAATGTCAGCCAGGAAATACCGCGGGTGAAAGGGCTTCCAGCGCAGATTAGAGCCCAAAAAAAGGGGCGAAAATCCGATTTTTGTGTCCGCTGTAACTTCCGTGCGCTCGGAGTTGCGTGGCCGGGCAGATCGGGAGATTTTGGCAGGCAGAGGGGAGCGAAAATCTCCTTTTCAGCCCTCGAGAATCCCCCTGGAAAAGGGAAAAATCAACAGAAACCCGGCGCGAATAATGACAGGGGAGGGGTGGTGCGGGTGAGATCCAGGACTTGGCTTTTATTAGAGAATTCCATGGTCATACCTAAGACAAACTCCAAACACAACACGTACAAAAATTAATAAAATAGAACTTTCTGTCGTTGTTCTTTTTTT